GCGACGGTAGGCAAGCCCGCCCGCACGCGTTTTATGTCACATTCGTTTTTCCAGTGAGCAGGGGTCCACTTGGTTCGAATCTAACCCACCATGGTGCGAAGGTCCAGCGGGGCATTTCTTTATTTTAATATGACATATTTGCATCTAGGTAGAAGAAAGACACTAAGTACTTGTACGTCGATGTGCGAACACAATTCGTTACTCGATCTCAGAATGTTTGTCCTATCCGTCGATGTGTACGCGGCTTTGTCTGACAAGATTGAAGCTTTAAACACCGAAAAGAGGATAAAAAACGAATGAATCCTGAAGGGGGTGTGGCAGATAAAGGGTTAAATCGATAAAATATTAATATCAAAGGAGAAATTTGGCCACCAGAATCCCAGAAACAGAATGTAACTTATAGAAAACAGCCTTCAGCACTTGTAAATTTTTGTGTATTTTTGGTTAAATATGGTCATTTTATTCCAATTTTATGGTCCAAATTAATTTTAAAATGCACAATCGTGTTCAGAACCCCCGAAAACATAGGAATCGATGTGAAACGCATCAAGACCCATAAATTTGAATTTCGGTGCATTTTGGTTAAAATTAAGCATTTAATGAACTTTTATTGCACGAAATTACTTTTAAAGTATAAAATCGTGATCTACGCCCCAAAAAACATAGGGAGGGACACTTGGAACGCTCAAATATGACCAAAACCAGCAAACCACTTAAATTTGGCGCTATTTTGGACGCCATCTTGGATATCTCACTTCCGGTTGAAATTTCGAGTTGGCAAACGGCATTTTCGGATTCAGCGGGGTCGAAATAGGGGGGAACCGGTGTTTACTCAATTGTTACATGAAATGCTTCTTGCATTGAAACGGAGAGCTTTTCTGAGATTTTAGCCCCGACTACTACCCGCCCGTCCGGCGCGCCTGCCGCGCCTGGCTGGCTGGGCTGGAGGTCAATCTCCTCTCCCGCGGTCCCGCGCTGACGTGCAGCCTCGCAGTGGCGCCGCGCGCGGCTAAATTCATTTGGGCGGCGCATTCGCGCGCGGCCGCCGATCTGCATTATTCACGAATTGGCGCAAAACTCTTCCACGCGTGTCGGGCGGGGGATTCATCCGCACCGGAGCGGACCGGACCGCGCCGGTCCGCAGCCGACGGGAAAGTCAACGTAAAGGTCATAGAAAGTCAGCAAAAAAACACACAAATAAAACATTGAAAATGATATTAGAAATTCAGAAGCCGATAGACATTCTATCAAACGACTGTTATTGAAGTACGTAGTCCTTTTAATCAAGTTTTCGCGAGTCCACGTCGTGAGTTCTCCTATCCGTTCGTCGGCCCTCCTCCAGTCCTCCAGGAAACTAGCCACGGCCTACCTTAGTAGCTTTACCGCCAGAGGGGAAAACGACATGGCCAACGGAAACGGCGCGACATCGCGCAGCCGGCGCTAAAACGGGAGGACTTGAAACGATGACGGCCTGGCGAGGGGGGCGAAACGTGACGGCGCTAATTTCACCGACGCGATTATTGGCAACCAGCGCCGCATCCAGCCGTCTTAAACGAAAGTACCCCAGTGGGTCGGTGAGCACTCACACTCTCACCCGTGCCTGCTACCGCCGGCTCAACAGAGGGGAGCTCTCCTCGTGGGATACCTACTTGTTGATTAGGGATCACCCAGAAGGTACACGCCGTTCCGAACCAGCCCAGTTCAGTCTCGGCGAGCTCTCCTGGCGCCTGCTCGGTAGGCAAAATCTTGCTTGCAGTGCACGCGTGTACTGCGGGGTGGCCTACCCCGAGTCTCGCAGGCGCCCAGCTCCCTGTAATTTGTCGAATGAATCTGAGAAAAACGAACGTCGTGCACTTTTTGGCGGGTCCCTTGGTCACGTACAGGTCGGCTGGGTCCTTCGTGTGGGCGCGCGCGATCGCGACGGGGGGGCCGCCGCCCAGGCGGGACGAGCCTCTTCCGGGACGCGCCTGCTGGGCCGGGCCGCCAGGGCCGCCCTTGGCCTTGGGCTGGACGGGACGCGCCTTGGGCTCTGGAGCAGCGCGGAGCAGCAGCGCGCGGCCCAGCCCGGTGACGTCACGCCCCGTTGTGCCTCGCCGCCTGCAGTCCCCCACCTCGCGGGCCGCACCGCGGGGAGGGGCGCGGGCGCGGCGCGGTGTCGCGGGGCGGAGCGCGAGCGCGGCGCGCGCGGCTCCGCGAGTCTACCTCCTGCGCCGCGTTGCGCCCTGGTCCTGTACCTGGCCGAGGGCGGGGCGCCTGTCGTTAACGCACCTGTCGCGTCCTTTGTCGGGGGCCGCGGGGCGCGCGGGGGGGACCTTGCTTGGCAGACCGGGGCCCCACCGCGGTTGGGTCGTTATTCGCAGAGACCTCCTTTGTCCGTGCGAATAGACACGGCCCGCCGCGAGGCGCTGCGCATGGGGCTTGGCGTGTGTACTCCCATACGTCGCCGCCCCGCCCCGCCCCGCGACTCTCGCGATGGATCGTACCGGCCTCCTGGCATTGACGCCAAGGTGACAGACGCGAGGGGATTTCTGAACGCGTCGCCACCGCCGCTAGGAGCATGTCCTCTCCATGGTGGTGAAGGTGACCCGGCGGCCCCCCGCGCCCCCACCCCGCACGTCCTGCCCCTGCTCATGGTGATCCTGTGTGTTGCAGACTTCCCCGGCATGTGCTTCGCGTCCACCCGCTGCGCCACCATCGAGCCCGGCCACACCTGGGAGCTGGCCCCCTTCTGCGGCCGCTCCACCTGCGTGACCGCCGAGGGCGACCAGGCCGGCCGCCTTCTGGAGCTGGTGGAGGACTGTGGCCCCCTGCCCGTGCCCAACCCCAAGTGCAAGCTGTCCGAGAAGACCAACAAGACCGCTGCCTTCCCCGACTGCTGCCCCGTGTTCGACTGCGAGGAGGGCGCCAAGCTCGAGTACCCCGAGATCGCCACCCCGGCCCCGGCCAAGGAGGGCGCCAAGGATGCCCCCAAGGCCTAGACCAGGGCCCTGACGTATCCTCCTCACTGTGATGTTCACCACCATTCCCACAGGGAGCGGGGGCGGCGCCAGGTGCGTCCGGCTCCCCGCTCCCCCACCCTCACTCCGCCAGCCCGCCTCACCCCCGGCGCCGTCGGACTGCCCCCTGCCCCGCAACGCCCCGCGGAACATCACCGTGGGGCGGGGCTGGGCGGGAAGCTGGCGGAGTTCAAAGACTGAAATCCACTGCAACGCTGTCACCTTTCAGCAGTTCGCACTTAGAAAAAAAAATACCAGTGAACTTTTGAAAAAGAAAAAAGAAAACCAGGCAAAAAAATTAATAAAACGTGAAAAATATTCGTTCGATTTATTAATTTTGAT